CCCCAGGTTCGACAGCCTAACATAGGGGCCTTCATAATCAGAATAGGGTTTGGGGGGTTCCTTCAAAGGCTTCCTTAAAGGGTTCTATAAGGGCTACTATAAGGGTTTAGGGTTTAGGGGCCTTCATCATTCGAATAGGGTTCCTTTAAAGGGATCCTGAAACGGGTTCTATAAGTGATCTATGATAGGGCTCAAGTTCTGTGATATAGGGGCCTTCATAATTAGAAGAATACGGGTTTGGGGTAAAATATACCCCCCCAAAAAAAACCTTATTAAAATCATTAAGGCTCCTACAGTAATGCGTGGGGATGCGATCGGCGCGCAGCTACCCGCAAAAGCGTTCGGCTGGCCGGGGTAAGGAATGTCAGTTGCTAAATTCTTGATCCCATGAGGTAAGAGGTCTTTAGGAATCGGCTTTTGGCCACAGGACCCTGTACCTGAACCCTAAACAGACCCTAGCACTTAGGCCTACGATTCCATTCTGCCCATCGATCAAGGGTACTGTACAGTAGCTTGGCGGGAACCTTCGGGCGGTATTACATCTGTCGGTTTCCACCCCAAGTACGTCAGAGTACAGGCTTTGCATGTAGGGCTGTGCTGTACACCTAACACCGTCGTACGGGACTCCGAAGCTTTGCCAAGCCCTGTGGCATTTGAACATTTCCTGTCTAGGTCAATGTATGGGTGTATCTACCTACCTACCTACCTACCTGCCTGCCTGCCTACCTACCTACCCTACGTACCTACCCTACCTACTTACCTACCTACCTGCCTGCCTGCCAGCCAGACAGGCAGACAAATATACATACATATATATATATATATGTATATATACACACACACCTATTTGTCTATGTATAGATATATATACACACACATTCATGCATGCATACACACACAAAGACTTGCTTGCTTGCTTGCTTCCTTCCTTCTTTCTTCCTTGCTTGCTTGCTTGCTTGCTTGCTTGCTTGCTTGCTTGCTTGCTTGCTTGCTTGCTTGCTTGCTTGCTTGCTTGCTTGCTTGCTTGACATACTCACTCATTTGTTAATTTAGTCTTCTGCATTACTTACATACCTACATAAACACATGTATATGTAAATATATACACATACGCACACATGCATCCATCCATCCATCCATCCATCCATCCATCCATCCATCCATCCATCCATCCATCCATCCATCCATCCATCCATCCATCCATCCATCCGTCCATCCTTTCATCCAACCATCCATCCTTGCATGCATAGATAGGTACACGTTTCAATACACATATATATATATATATATATACACATCTACACATATATGTATATACATATATGTATTATTTGTATTTATATATTAGTGACCAATTGATATGCATCTTGTGAATATGCCTGTTTGTCTGTCTGCCTGCCTGCCACCACGAATCCGAGCCACCAAACTTCT